AGATAAATAAATATTTTTTGTATAACAAGTACCTATTCATTGTTTATTTTCAATCGATCTTTATTGAACAGTTGAGTACGGTATAGTGAGCAAATAAGTCGTTAGGAGTCGCGTGCTTGTTAATAAAGACAAATGACATGCAAGAAGTAAACACATCCGTCTATCTTGAATACCATATAAATGACCAGTTAAAGAAGAGATTATAAATGTTTTGACTTTGTTCGAACTATTTGAAACCAAAAAAAAAAAATAAAACATAAAGAATCTATGTCATTGTACTTTTTTTTAAGTAGATAATGAGTTTTATAATTACAAAAAAAACAAAGTGTTTTTACCAATTTTATTTACAAGAGAAGAAGAACTTGAGACTCTATCTTGTGTTAACCTTGGCATAGAATGCTTCACTCACTTTTCTTCGTCGCATCCCCATCATGATTATTATTATTATTATTATATATGAGTTTCATCAAGCCTTGAACAGGTATCTAGAGAGAAAGAAAAGAAAAAGAAAACTCTGATTACATTTATATTTTCCTCTATTCTTTCTCCATTTTCTTCTTCTTTTTCTTTTGTGATAACCGAGATCTATTTCATGTCTGAATCACATCATACACACCTAACATTCTTCGTTTAGTTTCCGATTAAAAATTAACTCTATGTGTTCTTCATGCTCGTTCATGTACACACATTGTGTATGCGAATGGCATACAGAGTTAATTATACGAATATTTTTCTCATCATCATCATAATCATACATGGAAAGTGAGGAGAATAAAAAAAAAACAGAAAGAAAATATTGGTTTTTCATACTAAAAAAATAATGAATATTTTGTTTTTATTACAGAATAAACATATGATAATGAATAGAAACATTTATACTATTTTAGAAAAAAGAAAAAAGAATAGGTTACCCGAAGTTATAAAAATCAATTGATAATGATATTAAGGTTCGAGGCTGAATACATATTGTTCTATTAAGTACTCTCATGATAACAATCATTTATTTCTCGAAGATATATTATATTATAGAAGTTAAAAATAAATTTTTTTAACCCGAAAATGTTGATTAGACATCTTACTTGTAAGATATGATTGTTTTAAATTTTTTGCATTATATGAATGATGATTTCTTTCATACGTAAATAGCTCATGAATAAAATTTAAATTAAAAACAGATTGTGCATATTTCCTTTTGTTGAATATAGTTATTCAATAATAGAAATTGATTGTAGTGATTTCATTTTTACAATTATAATATAGATTAGATTTTTTTTTTAAACATATTTTTTCTAAAATTAATGACGAAATATATATATTGAAAGTTGATTTTGAATATTATATTATATGTAGTATTAGAAATGCAGGAGACAACACACTTACACATAAAAAAGTAAATTGAATGTATTCATCAATTGACAGGAAGAAAAAAAAAATGATGATGCAACAGTACTGCCTCAAGAGATTTTTATTAGTAAATTTCTATGTACTAATTTCCGTGTTTTATTAAATATAAGTGAAAAAGTTAACATAGATGCAACAATAAAAAAAAAAAGGATTGTCTTTTAATTTTAGTCATATCTGATCATATTCAACTTGTTGATTTCGTTCAGTTTGTGGTTTTTTTTTCTATATATATATATGTAACTATGGATAAGTGAAGCAATAACATTCATTGTCCCCTGACATGCTGATGATTTCAAATTTGAACGTTTTGTCTATTGAACAAGCTTCATGATGAATAATTTTGATTGAAATTGTTTGTCTATTTCATCAAACAATCGTTGTTTATATATCTTGAATGGTATTGTTTAAAAAAGAAAATTGCATCCACACTTGGAAACCTTGTTCATCATATATGAAGACAAACAAATGAATATACAAAAGAAAAATGCAATGAAATGAAACAAGTGTTTGATTAACACTATCATCTTTAAACCTTGGACTATATTGATAGTTTTAGTTTTCTGTTTCTTTTTTTTTGTGTAAATTGGACATTCATTACGTATTCAATTATTGATTAACTCGTTTTTATATATTGGCAAGGTATTGTACCATTTCATAGCAGTTATACAAGTAGACAGACTAATAAGCAGAAGAACCCTGATGAAAGTATGGACGATGAGAAGCAATAAATTGATGTTTCGCTTTATAACGCATCGAAAGGGCGATGTCTTTATGCTTCCTTGATAATTTCGCATTTCTATGTCCATGATCGTGTTGTGAAAGGGTTGATTGTATGTAATGATGCTTGTCGTATTAAGAGAGTCAACCGGTCTCATATTGAACAGTGAACGAACAATTTTTTTTTAATGTTCGTTTAGATGATAGTTTTGATATATGAACGCAAAAAAAAGAGAAAGAAAGGAACACAGAGAGAGAGAGAGAGAGATAAACGTATGAGGACGCGGACTCCGAAATACTTTTGTATATGAAAGGGTGAAGGTAGAGAAGTATGTCCTTGCCCGATCTGGTTTGCTTGACTGATTTCAATGAAAGTATTTAAAATGACAACGATGAAAGATTCATACTTGTGTTTCTTACAAGATAGTCATTTCTTCATATCATTATGGCTGATGCTTTATTTGACCAAGCTGGTATTTGTTTTATTTCTTTTAAAACAGAGAAATTTTTTTTTCTTTTTTTCTTTATTCTTTTAAATAGATCTTAATAAAGATCAACGGCTTGATATAAATGAATTTCGCAATCTTCTTGCTCAAAATTTAGGAGTTGGTGCAAATATTTATACTGGAAATATTGCTGATGGAGGTCAATATTCAGCAAATTCTTATGAAACTTCATCAACAGGTGCCTATGGTGATATAAATGCAAATGCTGGAGGATATGGTGGTGTTACTAGTGGTTTAGCAACAGCAGCAACAATTAGTGGAATTGGTAATGCAGGTGGTAATGCAAATTATAATTCTTATGATCAAGGATCATATTCATCATCAATAGGTGGTATTTCAGGTGGATTTGATGGAAATGTAACAGCAGATGGTGATATAACAAGTGCAGTTGCTGGAACAACTTCATCATCAACATTTGAAGCAAATGCAACTCAACAACAAATTCAACAATATGCTACGAATGCTCAAGGTCTTTATCAAGATCCTAATCCACAAATAATACGACGTCCAGCACAAAGTGGACAAGTGACTTATACACAAAATATTAAAATTCGTTTTCTTCAACCACCAGCTATTCCAGCACCAGGCGTAAGTTTATATTCTCATAATGTATTGTTTTTTTTTTATATATATGTTATTGATTTTAGCCATTGATTATTAAAGAAATACGACCACCTCAACCACCACCACCTCCACCATTGGTTGTTCGTCAACGTGCACCAGCACTTCCTACACCACCTCCACTTATTTTACGTGAACGACCACCTCCTGTACCAGCTTCTGTTGCTGCTCAAACTGGTAAAAATAATGAAAGCATAGTTTTTATTGTTTTTAACATTTTATTAAATTATTCTTTTATCTAGTTATTCGAAAATTACCTGCTCTACCACTTCCACCTCGTTCAGTTATTATCGAACGATTACCAGCACTTCCACCAAAACCTCGTAAGAATATTTTTGTATTTGTAACAAAAAAAAAAAAAAAAAACTTTTTTTTTTCTACTAATTTTAATTATTTATTCTTAGGTGATATTATTATTGAACGTTGGATTCCTTATGGAGCAATGACAAAACGTAAAACAATTATTCAACGTGCTGAAGCTATTAAACCTTATCCAAAACCACGAAATATTATTATTCAATATGAAGCACCACAAGTACGTGTTGTTCGACAATTTCAACGTCTTGGTATTATTGCAGAAAATCCTCAAGAATATGTTCAACGTTATGGAGCATCACTTATTGATACTCAAACATTACTTCAACAAGCACGTGCTGCTGGTGTTCTAGAAGATATTGTAAGATACAATAATATTGAAGTTTTTTCAATTTTTTTTTTTCGTTTTATTTTAGTCTCCACCAACAAATATTGGTACAGTAGCAGCAAGTTCATCATCATTTAATGCTGAATTTGCTGGTACTACATCAGGTATTGAAACAGCTGGAGTTGGTGCTTCATCATCAACATTTGAATCATCAAGTTATGCTGGTGGTCCACAAGTAGGTGCTGGTTATTCAGGTTATGAATCAGTTCAAGGTGGTAGTATTGGTGGTTTAGCATCACCATATAATGTAAGTTCATATTCATCACAAGGTATTGGTGGATTTGGTGATACAAATGTATCTGGTTATCAAAATTATAATCTTTCAACTGGTAGTAATATTGATTTAGCTAATGCTGCATTTAGAAGTGCTGATTTAAATAAAGATGGATCACTTGATAATAATGAATTTCGTCAATTCATTAGTTCTCGAACACAGTATGTATATTCATTTTAAGGATTTCTTTAAAATAAATTATTGATTATTCTAGATAAATTTATTTTGTTCATGATATAAGTTTCGTTTGATGAATTCGAAGGAGAGAAAAAAAAATTGAATTTACGTTCGACTATCACCTTGTTAGAAGAACAAGGACCATTATTATTTATTTTTTTTTTTTCTTTCAATTTTTTCATATGGATACATATTCGTTCTGTTTCGTTACACTATTCGCTTTGATCATATCATTTACATTAAAATTCTTTTTTTCCTCATTTTTCATTTTGCTTGATAATACATTTACATATGTATAAATAAATATTACATTAGTTCGTGTTTTACCTTTTTTTTTTTTTTTTTTATTCGCTTCAATAAAAAAAGGGAACATATTTATCATTATGATGATGTACATATGACATTTTTCTTTATGGTGTTTTAAAAACTTATTTATTTTATTGTATAAATATGAAAGTGAATACAAAATGAAAAGTTTCGTAAGGTTAATTGTTTGAAAATCTAAATAGCTAACTATTATTATTTTTTTTTTTGATGCATGAATATAATAGTTAAAATAATGCAATAAAGAAAAAAGAATAGATTGTGTCAGTTTATTTTAAAATCCAGCATTGTGAAATTCTGTTTGAGACAAAACACCATCATTGTTTGTATCAGCTGCAGCAAAAACTGCATTAATGCCGTTATTTAATCCACCAGTTGCTAAGTTATAAGATGGTGTGATATTTGATAATGTTGATCGAAAACCACCAAGACTCGAAGCATCAACATTAGATGATGATGCATAAAATGAAGCACGGCTACCACCATTAGCCATAGTTTCAGCATTAATTCCACCAATATTGTTAACTTCAAAACCAAGACCATTATTAGATGACGCGGAAGAAACTGCAAATGAGCTGGATATATTAGGCGCGGACTACATATATATAAATATGTTTATTGATAAAGATATTAATAGATTTTAATCGCTTACTATGTCTTCAACGACGCCAGCCGCACGTGCTTGTTGAAGCAATGTTTGAGAATCAATAAGTGATATTCCATAACGTTGCATATATTCTTGAGGATTTTCTGGAGTAATACCAAGACGTTGAAATTGTCGAACAACACGTACTTTTGATGGTTCATATTCAATAATAATATTACGTGGTGGTGGATAAGGTTTAGGAGGAGGTGCACGTTGAACAATTGTCTTACGTGGTGGCTGTGGTCCATATGGAATCCAACGTTCAATAATAATATCACCTAATAATAATCAATCTATGATTGAAATACAACCAGAGTATAAAAGAAAAAGTAATCTTACGTGGTTTTGCTGGTGCTGGAGGCATACGATCGATAACAACCGATCGTGGTGGAACTGGTATTGCAGGTAAATTTCGGACAACTAAAAAGAAAATTCAATAAGAAAATCTTTATGGTTTTTTTTCTACCAGTCTGCGATGCAACAATAGGTGGCTTCGGTGGTGGTTGTTCACGTAAAACAAGTGGCGGCGGTGTAGGAAGTGGTGGAGCTTGTTGACGAACACGAAGTGGTGCTGGTGGTGGTGGTTGCGGTGGTCGTACTTCTTTGATATACAATGGCTAAAATGAACAATGTAATTACAAATTTACAAGAAAAAAAAAGAAACATGTGCATTTTAAATTGCTTTACTCCTGGTGGTGGAACAGGTGGTGGTTTAAGAAATCGAACTTGAACATTTTGTGTATAAGTAAGTTGTCCATCTGGAGCAGGTCGTCGTACAATTTGTGGATTAGAATCTTTAAAATTTCCTTGTGCATCTGTTTCATATTGTTGAAAATTTGACGATTGATATGCAGATGAAGAACCAAGCAAACTTGCATCTGTAACATTTAAACTTGTTGCATCACCAACAATATTACCAACAGATGACCGATATGATGATGCATCATAATTAGTACCAGCAAATCCACCACCAGTATAAGCTACATCACCAATTGTTGATGTTTCGTAAGTTGATGATGAACCATAACCACTACCAGTTGCCAAATTATTGAAAGCATTGTTAGTTGAATAATTCGAAGTATCAAGACCAGCAGTAGAATGTCGTACTACGAAATCTCGAAATTCATTTTGAGATAAGACTCCATCTCGATTAGTATCCGCTTCATTAAACAAAGCATCCGCAGTAGTCATTTTAATATTGCTATTAAAAGATACAGCAAATGATGTGGTAACAATGAAGTATTTTATGTAATATAAAAATATAAATCTGTATTCATTTATATATATATCTACATATTTAAGGAAAAAAGCAGTCAACCAAGTCGATCTTTATTGCTCTCTCTCTCTCACATATTTACTTTTGCGCATTATGTTATTTTCTGATGATTAGTAAGTAAACTTTGCCCTACCATATATATAATTCCACTTTCACTTATTTTTTTTACAGTGATTTTCATATGTGTATATAAATATACATACCTTATTTTTGAACCTATGTTTTGTCATTAGTATTTATAGATGTACATTTAAAGAAACAGGCTATGATCGTATCTTCTGAAGTGAAGTCATTATAATAAACACTTAAATGACATTCGATTACATTTTTTATATTGCAAATTATATTGCTTAATGTAGATAGAAGCAAAAATGAATCAATATTGTTGCACTATTTATCATATTCATGTCTTAAGGTATCTTTCTACCTTTAGAACAGGCTCTTCATGCTTTAACATGTTATTGAGTTGAAATTTTGTGTACATTATGATAGTGCTTAATTATGTATACACAAAAAACAAAACTTTCAGTTTCGTACTTTATTAGTGGTTGTGATTATAACAATGTTGGTTGACACATATCATGCATTTTTAGGTCTTCTCAGGTTCCCAATAGTATTCGCGGCTATCTCAATTGACAAAATTTATTCTTTTTTTTGACTTTGAAATCAAAACATTTTCAGTAAAATTGAGAAATTTCATGAAAATAACAAAGTTGTTATAGAAGAAGAACGGGTGTTTTTTGTTCCTTTATTTGAATTATATAGTGCATAGTAATGAAATATAAACTCAATATGAACAAAAGTGTATAATCGATTAGTTAACAATACCCATAAAACTAAGCTGTTTACTGCAGAGATACTGCACTTTTACAATATTTTTTTAAATGAATGACATGATAAAAAAAAAAGTGGTTTTCAAATTTTGACTCAAAATTACAACTATAGTAATAAACTGTCATTTACATTGTTCATATAAGCACATCAAAAGATCGAAAAGTTTTACAATAAACTACTTCTATGAAGGCCTGTTTCTATGCAAAGTTCCCGAAGTTGAAACTTGAAAATTAAATTTTTCTATCACCATGGCATCTATGCCAAAAACGATTTAGGAAATGACGGACATCTATTCTATGATAATCCAAATTTACTGTTTATTTTGTTCATATCGACGAAATATTTTGTATATGTGAATTAGAATAACTTTGACTTTATTTTGAGAAATCATTGTGTTGATAAACTGAGTTTGCTCGAAATTGTTATACTAACTCTGTAAAGATAAATGTAAATTGTGGAGACCAAGAAGGATGACCAAGACTTTATCATGGATTAATTAACTCCGTTTTAATCTTATAAATTATTTAATCTCTGAAATAAATATATTTAGTTCTACGAGTTATCGTAATAATGAATTATTTTTAAAATAACAAATTTATCATTGTCATATTATATTGAAAGCTATTGTAACTGAGTTCAAGCGACATCGTTTTAGTTATTTCGTACAACTGGTAACATATTCACCAATGAGAAAAAGACAAATCTCTTAAGTATATTGTAAACTATAATGCTTTTTTATCCTCGTTTTTGTAATGATGAATGTTTTCTGAAATTGATTTGACAATTATTTAGATAATAATAAAATTCATTAATCATAAGAAAAAAAAAATATAAAAGAACTTCTCTCGAATAATTATTTTAGATTTTAAATCAATACAAGAACTTATTTAAATCAGCAGTCATGATAACTGACGTACAATTGGCTATTATTGCAAATATACTTAATGTTGTGGTATTCTTATTGATTATTCTCTATCATTATATTAATTCATCTAATATCAAAGCTAAAAAGCAAAGTTAATTGTACGATTTACTTTTTCTTCTTAAAACAACAACAAAAAAATATATAAATCTATTTTCTTTTATTATAGATTATTCATTTTGAATCATTCCATCGTAATCAATATGGATAGACTATTGATTTTTAGGTTTTGTTTTCTTCGTTTGTTAATCTTTTCTTAAAACATAACATTAAAATATACTTAAATAAAACTCAAATGTATTATTCTATTTATTCAATTTACATGCATCTATAGTACGTCATATATCTTATGATCGTAAAAGAAAATTGATATGTTACATGAATTAATATAAATTTCTATATCGAGTATTAAGTTAATATATTTCATCGAAGATTGATTGTGAATCTCAAAATTGTTTATATCATTGAGATCGGTGTTACTCGCCAATTTCATGATCATAAGATAGAGCAAGGATCTTACGAGGGAAGGGCACCAACTGTCCAATCGCTTTTGAGCCGAGACTATGTGCATTATGTAGATCCAAATGAGTTATGAATACCCTGAAAACAGTTCGGGCCGCTAGGTTATTGCTACGGAGATAGTGCACTTTTACAGTATTTTTAAATAAATGCTGTGGTCCCCCTCAGGAACACAGAAAAACTGATTTTCGAATTTCGACTTGAAACTTTGGATAGAGACAGACCTTAATGAGAATAGTTTGCTGTGAATATTTCAGATTTTTTCGCCCTTTCTATCCTAGGATACAGTTATGAATAACTTGTCTATATAAACTGGCAGATTTGATGTTCTTATTTTAGGATAGAAGCAGATGAAAAAATCTTAGAAACATTCAGAATAAACTATTCTGATTACGGTCTGTCTCTATCCAAAGTTTCAAGTCGAAATTCAAAAATCAGTTTTTCTGGTGTCCCTGAAGGGGGACCATAGCATTCATTTTTAAAGAATACTGTAAAAGTACACTATCTCCGTAGCAATAGGCTAGCGGCCCGAACTTTTTTCAGGGTATTCATAACTCATTTGGATCTACATAATGTACATAGTCTCGGCTCAAAAGCGATTGGACAGTTGGGGCCTTCCCTCGTTAGACTATTTTCAATGTACTTGCAATTATAAAAATGTTATCTTTCAGTTCCAAGTTAACATTTCATATTGAGATTACCTTTTTCTCAAATCTATGGTTATATAAATTCATGAAAACTGCACATTATGTAGATTCAAATGGCTTATGAACATCCTGAAAAGAGTTCATGTCCATAGCTTTTTGCTATAGCGATACTTCATTTTACAGTATTTTTTCAAAATAAATATCGCGATCTAGAAAAAATTGATATTCGAATTATGACTTGAAACTTTGGTCAGAGACAAGATTCAATGAGAATAGGTTTTTCTGTTAATCTTTCAGATCTTGTCGCTGTTCCTATTCTAACACATCACTATGACAATAGGATGTTTTTACAATAAGCTTTTCTTATTAAAGTCTATCTCTATGCAAAGTGTCAAATCGAAATTCAAAAATTAATTTTTCTGTTATTACGGCATTCATAGCTTCTTTTCAATCTATATAATAAAAATAAATAGTTTCAATTCAAAAGCAATCGAACAGTTGAAAGATTTCCATCGTTAGTTCTATATCAGATATAACATCTGATTATGTTCTTCATCCTGAAAATAATATTAAAAATTCAATTCGCATATGTAATATTGTTTTTTTTAATATATAGTTTAACTAGTCTTACTCAATATATATATCAGCATTAAAATTTCGATATGCATATGTCCATTTGAAAATTAATTTCAGACATTAATCATTAGAACGAACAATCAAAAGCTTCATCATGTAACTTACAGACATTCTCATGAAACTTGATCGACTGAGACATAAAAATGGATTGTAGATACTTGTCGACAGTCAGAGATATTCTTGTTTAACATCTTATTATTATTGTCTTCTCTATTAGACATTTTCTTTCATTGTCATTTTAAAAAACTTTACGATACTAATGAAATTAATCAATGTAGTACAATTTTGTTCTTTTTATTTTGAAAAATTTATATAAAACAATATCACCGAAAAAGTAAAGAATAAGGACAATAGATCACTGGTATAAGACAATTTCGATGAATAAGATGTTGTCACTGTCAAAATTGTTGTATTCCTCTTTATAACTCCATTAAGAATACTATAAGTAAAACTTGTATTAATTGTATAAGTTGTTCTTGATTGTAGACCAGTAAATTGATATAATCGAGTAGTATATGAAGTATTTTGTGTTAAACCTAGACTTGTACCTAATTGACCATTATTAATTAATTGTGTTGTAAAAGAATTCGATGAATATGGCAAATCATTTGGCCATTGAAAAGAAATAATAAATGAATTCGATGTTATATTTCTTGATAAAATAATAACAAATGATGGTCCTGGACATGCTGTATTTGAACGTAAACATGTTCGAGTTAAAATACAAGTATTTATAATCGATAAATATTGACTAAAATTTGTCACTGTTGAATTTGATGAAAAACAAATATAATAATAAGCATTAACTAATTCAAAATTTTTTATTAAACTTGTTATTGTTTTATTTATTGATGTAAATGTATAATTTGTTGATGCATATATTCTATTATAACTATAATAAAATTCATATATAATAATATAAATTCGTATAAGATTCGAACGATCAATAGACACATCAGCAAATTGCCAATTTATAGTTAAAGCTGTAGAATTTATTGGAATAACAGATGTTATTTTTGGTTCTGTTATATATGGATATATTTGACAATGACATAATGTTATAATTGAAAAAAAAGAAGAACAAGAATATATGAACCATACAAATAATTATCCATTTATATTGTTTGCACTATTACACATACCTAAATATTCAATTGAGTTTTATAGATGCAACAGATGCTTTTCTTTTTTTCTTCTGACATACAATAATTTTTTATAGTAGCTATTTAAGATTCTTTTCTACGTACAAGATTGTATTTAGTTGATGTTTTAAAATTCTTATGTTTATTTTGAGTGGAATTTTACAATATATAAAAAAAAAAACATTCTCTACGTGCTTGAATTGATGATAGTTATGATTAAGAAATTTGTGTTTAGAATCAATATGAATACTTAAAACATTTAATAAATAAAACATCTATCAAAAGAATTATTGTAAGAATTTCTTAACTGAGCGATTACGTCAAACAAGAAGTAAAGATTTCTTTGGCTCATTAAACTTCAAAGTACTCTAGAATTGTATAACAAACGAGGTCTTACCTGTCATTGAAATGAATATGAATAATTTGCTTAATGATACTTTATTTTTTTTTAGAGAACTAAATGATGCTTAGATGAAATGTGAGTTTATGTGTGTTGTTTCGTACAGTTAGTGACAGGCAATAAAAAAAATGAGTAAAAGAAAAAGTCGATAGAAATGTCGGTTTTTTTTTCCCCCGTTGAAAATGGCAACCAGTGATGCCACATTTTTTTTTCTGCTTTTCACATAAACAATAACAATCAAATATTTTTTTTTCTTCTTCGAAAAACATATAAATGACAAGGTCAAAACGATTTTTTCATTATTATAAGAATTATACATTGAAAAACATGATTTATGATAGATTTAACCATGATAATATTTCATAAATTGATTCTCTTGTGACTTGTAATAACTTATTTTCATTTTTTTTTTTTATTGATTAAAAATAATGAGAAAAATGAACAATGTCAAATTTTTTAAATTTAGTCAATAATAATGAAAATTATAATTAAGATTCTCATTATTGATAAACTTACTAATTATAACGACAAAATATAATCTAAGTACTTATAATATGGTTAATCGTGTATATATATATTGTTTTCGATCGAATTGTCGTTTATAAGCAAAGGATTACGAGATAAGAATAAACTTTAGAAAATTTGAGTCAATATACCTGAATGATAAAGAGTTCAACTAAATTTTAGTCTTATGTCACTGAATTTCCTTAAACAAGATGAATATGTCAATTTCCGGCAGGTTCTTACAAGAAAACATTTCTTACGAATTTTTGGATCAGAATCCGTATGGATTTCTTAGCCTGGAGATATACAGTAATTTATGATCTTTAATAAATTTGTCTGAGAAATAATGAGACAAAATTCTCTACTTTATTTTATCTCTCAAAAAAATATCTTGAGAAGTTAAACTTGAATAAATGTACTGAAGTACATAATAATACACGCAACAAAAAAAAACAGTCAAAAGTAATCATATAGTACAAAAATAAATAGATTCTTCTCAATATTTTATAAACTATAATATCAATAAATTCATTGAATTTACTTTTGACTAAATCAATTTTTTAAAAACTACTCAATCTTACCATAACGATCGTATACAATCTCCTTTCTATTTCATATTTCACCATGAATTATATAAATCGTTAAAATACTGTTGTATACAATGTAACATGACTGTTGACAAATATATACAGGTTTCATATTCTTCTCCGTTGACACATGAACTAACAAAAACACACGATGCAACTGTCAATAGAAGAGACATCCAACTTTTTGTAACTACGGAAGTTAAAAATTAGAATAAAATTATTTATATAAAATTTGAAGTGAAATGATACAAACAGTCTAGACCTATTATGATACTATATAGACAAATGATAAGTCATTTCAATGTAATATGAGCTGTTGCTAATCGATTCTCGATTACTTAATGCAATCATTATTAACATATTTTAAAGAAACATATGATAGACGAACGAGTAATGCTTGTAAAAAGTGAGGATATTAGCTTTAGTTTTAAATTTTAGCATAAAAAAAGAATAAACAGTCTCATCTATTGAAATCACGTGAATATATGATGACAGCTTACAAACATCGTATTAAAATCGAGACGATAATAATCTTATCAATGAATCGGATCGTCTTACTAATTTACCCTATGCAGTTAAGAAAAAAAAAAGAAACAAATAAAAATACACATCTGTATAATCGCGTAGTTGATTTCTTTACATTATTTCACTATACTACATTTTTAAAACATTTGAATTTTTGTGTTTAAATTTCGACCATTATCCAGAATTTTTCGGCGAAAACTTTCCGGCATCATTAAGTTGTATCGACATTTTTATTTTTTGACCCAATTTTGATATACCGGACAATACTTCTCAATAGCAATTTCATTATACGTGAGATACAAAGAAAAATTCACTCTCAATTTATGAACTAGAATAATCATTGATGAAATTTTTATAGTTAATAAAAGAGATCTTTGTGAAAATATGTTTTTTTTTTGTTCAGTATATCCATCTTGAATTGTTCTAAAAGATATACTGTTCATTACGTTGAGTTTATACTGAAGTAGCTCATAATTGAAGCAATATACTTGACAATTTTTCCTATTATATTAGTGACAATCATCATTTAATCTTATTACAAAAAGTAAAAGATGTCACTAATTATATAGGTCATTTCGTTAACTCCAAATATTATTAAAACAATAAAATCCGGAATGATTGTACAGTTTAATTTGTTTGAGATCGAATTTCTCCGTCTCTCTCTCTTTTTTATTCCCGTCTTTTTCTGTTCTTGCTTGAAGCATTGTTTATTTTTGTATTGAATATGTTACAAAAGGAATAGCTCTACTCTCCGTATATACTTTTATGCCTTAACGAACAGTTTTATTCCTCTTTGCGTTACATTAATCTTTCTTTCTTTCTGTTCGTTATACCATAAAAAGTTCAATATTTCTTTCTTACAGATAATCGGTATATGCATCTTGATACGAATATGGGGTAAACGAACAAATTTTTCTTTTTTTTTCTTCTTTATTGATCAATGTATACAATCTATCGTAGTGAACAATCTCCTTTATTTACATGTAAAGCACATATATTTCAAGTTGATCCAGATACACGAAAATCTTGGATTCCATTATCAATTGGTGCTGGTATGAAATGAAAATGATTTTGAAAAAAAAAAATTAATTTTTAAATTCAGTTACTTTTGATGTTTTCTTCTAATCTAGTAAATGTGCAAATATTTCATGATTCAGTAAAAAATGTTTATCGTATTTTATCTGTTGATGGTTCAAAAGTACTTATTAATACAATTGTTACAGCTCGTATGAGTTTTACAAAAACATCACAAAAATTTTGTCAATGGGTTGATTCAAGAGCTAATAATGTTTATGGTTTAGGTTTTGCTAATGAAGCTGATTTAACACGAGTAGAAAAAAAATGAATTTATTTGATGTTTTTTCAACAAAAAAAAAAAAAAAATATTTTTTAGTTTATGGATAAATTTATTGAAGTAAAAGAAGCAACAAAAAATGCAATTCGAAGTAGTAGTGTTGATGCTCGACAAACATATCGAGTATATGAATGTTTCTTCTTTTTTTTTTTCAATTAATAAAGAAAACAAAATTTTTCTGTTTTGTTTTTTCTTGTCATTAGTCCGAATCAGATTGGTCAATACAATCAAAACGATTAGATCCATCATTACAATTAAAACAAGAAAATACTCATCTGAAATTTGCACTTGCGCAAAGGTAAACATATGTTTTTTTCTCATATACAAGTTTTTTTTTCTGTTTTAAGTTCAAATAATGCAAAAAAATGTCAAGAAGAATTAGATATATTACGTAATAATAATGCAAAATTAACAACAGCATTACAAGAAAGTCATGCCAATGTTGAAGAATGGAAACGACAGTTACAATTTTATCGAGATGAATGTTCTCGTCTTAGACAAATAGTAAAACAAAATTTTCTTTTACTATAATTATAAATTATCAAAAAACAAAAAAAGCGTCAGTTAACCAACATCTTAGACAGAAGTGAATTACGACCTGAAAGAGAATGTTTAATAGGCTTTTTTTGATAGTGATTATACCACCATTCTCAGATATCTATTGTTAAAGGATGTCATCTAGACTGTATTTTATATAGCTTTGTTGTTCTGATAGGATGATTTAAAAGTCTGAAAGAGAGAAGAGTGAGCAACATTGCTTCTATGAACGTCGTCATATTGATATTAATAGATTTCAAATTGATATATAAAGTTTATTTTGAATAAACGAATAGGTCAACTTGATGATTAGAAACTGATGCAATTACAAATTCATTTGATCTATCTTTGAAGACAAGAGGAAATCATGTTTTTGCCTCTCCTACACTTTTGTATGTATGAACACTTATAAGTTCAATTGTAGTCTAAGTGTTTATTTACATACAGAAGTTAATAAAGAGATGCTTTTGAATATTCAGACAATGATTGAAGTTGTTATAACCTTATTTTTTTTTTCGTTCGTTGTCTTATTTAGTGTAGTGAAGTTTGTATTTTGTTACTATAAAGTAACTATCGGAAGACAGCAATATGAAATTATTAGAGTCCATCGTTCAATTATATTTGATTTAGAAAAATTGAATATTTTAGGTTTCTAGTCGTCCTTCACCAGCTTGTGGACAAGTGAATGAAACACAAGAATTAAAAAATCTTCTTGATAATGCTGATCGACGTCATAAGGATCAAGAACAAGTATTTGTTTCTTTTTTTTTTCTGCTTTGAAATATTTCTTTAATATTTAGAAAATTCTTCAACTTGAAAATCAAGTTCAACGTTATATATCTCAAATTAATTCATTACAAGATCGTTTAGTTGTATGTTGAAGAATAAAGATTTTCTTTTATATTTTTTTTGAAATTTTTTTATTGTAGGAAAGTGAAACAAATAATCAAAATCTTCGTAATGAATTACATCGACGTACACCACAAGATTGTTGTACAAATAGAACAATTCATCGTTCACCACATCGAAATCTTCAACAATTAATGCGTCTTTGTGATTTATTTGAATCAAAATCAAATGATTTTAATCAAATAATAACTAATAAATCACAAGATTTACAACGATTATGTTCACAAATAACTCAAACCATAATGGAAATGTAATAAAAAAATTTTCTTTTTGTTTCGTTGATTTTTTTTTTGTTTTCGATTATTTTCTTTTATGCAAAAAAAAAAAAATGAATAATTGTTATTGTTTATCTTGTGACAATGATATATATCATAATTCTGATGTTGTGATAAAAGAGTTCATTTTATATATCTATATTCTTTCTTTTTTTCAATAATGATAGAGAATGATTATGTATATATATTTTTTTTTTCTTTACTATAAAACTTTCAGTATTTGTTGTTGTTTTTGTTTTTTTCGTAGTTTGTTTTAATTGATAGTATTCTTTAATAGCTAGAAGAACATGTAAAATAAATAAATTATTAATAGATAAAGATTAATCGAAATATAAATAAAAATTGATAGAAATTAATTTTTGATTATATTTTAATACATGAATCATTTTGAAATTCTTTTATTTATTGTCATTTGTTTCTCAATGTTGTCACATTAGTGGATTTATATTTTCGTGGAATAAGAGTTTTTATGCATCAAAAAGATGATCTTATCCGCTGCGTTAAAAATTGATCGAACACAGTTTATACATTGTAAAACTTTATACGCTACACTTTGTGTTATATTTTCTTTTTCTTTTTAATGAAATGTGAATAATTATAATTCGAGACTCATGAAACTTTTAAATAGTATGCATTTGAAATAAACAATATTTTAATATAACACAAATCGTTTTTTTTCTCAATAAATCATAACTTCTTCTACGTCGATATGACAAAAAAAATAATGTTTTCAAGTGTTTATGAACATATTCATTTGTTGAATATTAAATTCCGAAGAAAAAGATAATTATTATTCTTATTAAGATATAGATCATTAAAGTATTACATAATAATTTTTTAAACCTTTTCAAACAACTTCTCCATTGAGAATAATCAATTACTAACGATGATGGATCTGTAGCTCCTTGCTTGAGAAATCATTAGAAAAAATATTCTAATGCAATCAAATTTGTATAACGTCGGAATCAGCATTAATTACAGAATTAAATATAGTTTAGATTTGAATTTATTTTGATTTAAACAAATTTTAAAAATTGAAAGTAAATTGACGGGGGAGATCGCCATACCTACAAAATGATGAAAATCCATGATGCCGACTCAAAGTTTATAGGATTTTTTTACTATAAGTATTACGGCAGTGAAGCCTCCAATCTAGTGGCGTAACCAGGATTTTTCAGTATCCTGGATCTCTGTTAGAGAGCATGGGTTCCAAATGAAAACTTATGTACATTGATATTGAACTCAAATGATGAGTTTCTATCGGAAAAAAATTTTGAATCAGAGTTTGCAAAAGAAATTAGCATTTTTCTGAGCCCTACCAGAAAATGTTTCACATCTTTAATCATATGTCGTTTTCAGGAATGCCAACGAAAGCTACATCAAATTTCATCGAGAGATTTCAAACTTCATTTTAAAAAATTCGTCCGTTCAGAAGTTGTGCGGTTTTCAATTCCTGATGAAATTTTTTCGAAACGTCTCGAATCTTAAAAACGCCATAAGTTCTGAACGGATCAACTTTTTTAAATGAAATTTGATGTAGCTTTCGACGGCATTCTTGAAAACGACATATCGTTAAAGATGTGAAACATTTTCTGGTAGGGCTCAGGAAAATGCTAATTTTTTTTGCAAACCCTGATTCAATTTATTTTCCGATAGAAACTCATCATTTGAGTCCAATATCAATGTACATAAGTTTTCATTTGGGATCCACGCTCTCTGATGGATATCCAGGATACTGGAAAATCCTTGTTAGGCCACTACTCCAATCGCTGAAAATTCCAGCTTGACTGCTGAAGGTTACTTCAAGCATGGAAGATTTCTGGTAGAGCTACTCTATAGAAAATATCTGTGCTCAAAGACCGTGTTCAGAATCGTGTGACATCTATTGATCTACAAAGACATTGCATGAGTTCTTATTTAACCAGCTGTATTAAAGAAAAAAAAATGTTATCAACAGCGGCTCTTGTTTGGCAGATAAATTGTTTTAACGCTTTTTTTATCAGTCTATGTTTATGGTCATCAAACATTTTGTGTTTAACATCATGATCTTGACAAATGTTCTTTTCTTCTGTCTAGTTAACGGAATCCATTCTACTTGATTTTTAGCCATTTTTTTTCTGTTTTTCTCATTATCAGATGAGAAAAAAATTTACGTATCTTTTTTTATATTCTGTTCAATTGCTTAGAACTATAGTTTTTCTGAGCATGAGTACTAAATAGTAATATCATTTTTCATTGCAACCAATTGTTATCGATCAAATGCTCTTTTAAATGTGAATATTCAAAACAAATATCTCTACAAAAAGAAGCGTTTTTTTCAAAGATAAAAATTTTGAGTTTTCTGAATTTTTTCATACATAAGATAGTCAAACACTGCTCCCATTGTCTAATAGGATAATAAGAAAATGTTTTTATTTGTTCAGTTCACAATTTGTTCAAAAGTGTCGCAATAAAACTTGAGTAAACAAAAGTATTTTTAGACGATTGTTTATTACAGATTGAATTAATGAAATTAAATTGTTATCGTTTGATGCTCATGAACAATAAACTACTTCGCTTTCCTCATATTCGATATTCACACACCCATGATGAATTGCTGCCAATAAAAAAAATGAATATTATATCATATGCTCCAGTTAGACATCGTAATACAATTGTATCAAAAATTGAAACAACAGTAACAATTTGTGGTGGTTATGTTGATGATTTTAATTTTTTTTCGGATTTAGCTGTTACTCTACGAATATTGGGTATTAGACAACCAGATACATTAAGACAATTTTATCAACGATTAAAACTCGATACCGAAGAATTACAATTAGATAATGAAACAATTAAAGTGTTAGACAGGTGTTCTTCCAGTGTTGATCGATACTTACTTTGGATCCTATTTCAAATATTATTCATTGATGCTAAAGGCGATTTAAGACAAAATGTACCTGCTGTTAATAGTTGAAAAATTTCATAAAGACAAACCGTGATTGGCCGTTACATATTTTATATTATATAGTGAACTGCTGGTTATCTGCTAGTAGTTCCCACTCAATCATGTATTCATTTCGTTATTGTACCCACTCTCACAATGCAATGAAAGACATTTTTTTACGATGAAACCTTGTGCCTATTTTTTGTGTACACTCTAAAAAAGAATAGTTGTATTATAGAAAGTTAATGGTTCGACAGTCGTATCCCGAACTTGAGGGTGTGGGTGTGGTTATTGGTATCATTAGTCTGTTCAAACTGACATATCGGTCAAAAGAGAAACTTTGACGATGTCTCGTATACAACAATTATATGATTCAAAAAAACAAATAGAAGATTTCATTATTCACTAATATATGATATAGGGATATAGTGTAGTTCTAATCGAAAATATTAAAAAAAACTATTTCAACAAGAAAAACTGACTTTCTTATCTTCTATTGTTTTGGTTTTAAGAGCAAAAGACCCATTAAAATAAATATAAAGTGTATATAAAGAAAGCAATATCAAAGAATACAATACTTTTCTCTTGTTTGAAGAATACATATATTCAAATGACATCTATTAAATATGAAGATTTTCGTTTAATAAAGAATTTAAGTTATCAATGTTACAATTTCGATTAAAAGCTAATTTTCAATATAAGATTTAAAAATTGGAAGTGGCTATGTGCACTCGAGTGCATATAGCCGCATCTTAGTGTATTGGCTATGTGCACTCAAGTAGGTATTGTCAACTAGTTACTAAATATTGAGATATATTACAGCCATATATGTACTTCATAATTAACATGAGTAAAATTTATTAATTTATTAATAATTTTACTCTATTTATTTGTTGTTAAATTCAAATAGAGTATAAAACAAGTATTAATATCAAACAAATATAAAAGAAAACGTTAATTCAAATAAAAATCAACTCTTTTAGAAATATTGCTAGCGCTTGATCTCTTAGATTTTGAACGAAATAGTTGCATTTTATTATTTTCAATACGTCGGATGGAAACTATATCGATGCCAGTGTTTTTCTTCTCTATTAACTGTGCCTTCTTTCTCTATTGATAATTTATAGAACGAAAGATTCTACGTTTTCTTGATTAGTTAGCTTACAAAATGGGAAATTGAAAAACATAAAATTCCAATTAGCTTTTAATCTGGAACGAGATATCCTTTTTTAAGACCCGTTGATTAACCCTCACTAAAGAATAAGAATTAAAACAAGATTATAAACTGAGATTCTTTCAAGATGAGAAAAAATAGCTGTCAAAATTAGAGATACAATCAGAAACGAATGTAAAAGAAAATTTTATCATTATTGTTTTATAAAAAGATATTTTTATATGATTAATGTTAGTTATATTGAAAATAATGAAAATACAACTATTTCCTTGAAAAATTTAAGAGAGTATGTGCTAGAAATATTTGTAAATCAGTCGATTTTTACTTGAATTAACTTTCTCTTTTATATTATTTTGATTGTAACACTTGCTTTGTATTTTATTTGGATTTAATAAAGACTAAATAGAGCAAAATTGTTAATCAATTGATAAATTTTAACTATAATAATTATAACGAAAATATATGGCTATAATATAACTCAATATTTAGTAATTTTTTGATAATACCTATCTGAGTGCACATAGCCACTTCCAAATTTTATACTAAATGAGATAGACTAATTAATATATAGTCATTTTGCAGGGCACATTTTACTGTACTTTTTCACTGGAAACATTGCTCTACGAAAAGACTGGATACTAATATGGAAAGATTTATTATCAATGAAAAACAATTATGACTGCTGTTACACTCTTTACGGATTTAATTTTAGTTTACTTTAGAATCAATTGAATTGTTCTATAGCGTCATGTGAATTTTGCAGCTCGAAATAAAATAAATTACTCGTGAAAACTGAAACTATTTTAATATGTTTTATACACTCATACCCACCTTCTCTACCATCGGCGACGGTCTCTGGTAGCGTGTGCGTGTAAGTGTATATTTAGAAGCAACAGCTTTGTGAGAAGAGTAGTTTTCAAAAAAAAAAAAGAAATCTTCTTATAACACAAGAAAGAAATCAAAAAACGACATTAACTTGTTTGTTGAGCACAAAAAAACAACAAACGAAATCATTGTTCAATCGAGAATCGTTGAACTCGCTGATTGTAATAGTCAACAACATACAAATTTCCATGTCGATCGAATGACAAGTCTATGGGGCAGTTTAACTGGTTTGCTTCTTTTCCCGAACCATTTCCACCAACAATCACATCTCCCTGTACTGCTTCTTTGCACCAACGCATCACTCGATCGTTTCCCCAATCTGCTACATAGACTGTGCCCAACGTATCGACGAACACTCCTCTGGGTGACGACAATTGGTGCAGAGCATTTCCCTCACTTTTGCCACCAGCCACAATAATTCCTTGTGTTGCGTCTTTCTTCCACTTCATCACACGATTATTATTCCAATCCGAGACGTAAACAGAATAATCTCGATCGACAAAGATGAAAGTAGGACTGTACAGTTGATCGAGACGATCACCTTTTTTATTGCCACCTGCCACCACTATTCCATTTGTCTCTCCCATTCGATATCGTCTCACTTCATGTTTTTTCTGATCAGAGACATAGAGAAATCTTTGATCGTCCATCATCAATCCAAAACAATCGATGTTTTCGATCATAATTTCTCCGCTTGTTCGATTTTGACGAGACCATCGCATCACTCGTCGGTTGTCTTGATCGCAGATGATGAGACTGTCTGTTTCTTTATCGACAATTACATCTCTTGGATGATTTAACTGATCAGCTCGATTTCCTTGTCCATTGCCACCAGCTACTATTTGAACACTAGTTGCATCACATTTCCATTTCACAATACGGTGATTATTGGCTTCAGCAATGTAAATAGTTTGATCATCATCCACGTAGATACCCATGGGCGAATAGAGCTGATTGACTTCTAGACCTTCTCCATTGCCTGCAGCGACGGTCACTCCATTCTGTGCCCATCTGGCAGTTTGGAGAATATTGGGGATGAAATCTGCACAGAGAAAAAAAGAAAAGTTCTCGATGAATTTCAGGATATCCAAGTAGAATTTTCATCGAATTCGGTTAAGATTTTTCGGAAACGTCTTAAAATCTTGTACAAATCTCGCAAATCATCCAAAGTTTTCATGGATCAGTTTTCTCTGTCTTACTGTAATTTTCTTCCTATTTCTCGAAATTTTGTTAGATTTATCGAATTTTCTTTACAATGATTCTCTAGTATACTCAGAATTTACTTCGATGTTTGACAAATCTTAAGATTTCTGCAGGACCCTCTTCAATAGCACAGAATTTTCCAGAGTTTTTGTCAACCTTTCTGCCTTTTCATTCACTATGCAGCCGTTGCCGCTACTGTCTTTGAGTTTTATCGGTGACTCTCGTAGCATTTTCTGAACTGTTCAGAGAGTTTGAAAGGTTTCTCAGAATTGTTCCTAATCTCAAGAGTTCTATGTAGATCTTGCAGAATTTTGAGACTTCCTCATACACTTTCATGGCAATTTTGCCATATGTATTCAATTTTATTCTTTTAATTTACAGAATTTATCTAATTTTTCTTCAACCTCGAAAACATTCAATCATCTGCGATTGTTGAAATTTTCATTGGATTGCACAGAGCTTCTGGTGATTGTGTGAATTCATTGTAACTCTTCCTGATTTATTGCGTATTGCAAGCTATTTGTTGAAAGTACCTCAGAAGGTCTTAGGAATTTTTGGACATATTCTTTCTCTTCTTTTGTATCTGTCAGGTTTTCCCTCATTCTCATGGATATCTCTTCACAAGTATCTCTGAATTTTCTCAAGTGCAAGTTTCTCTTAAAATTTCTAAACTGTTTCTCGTTTTCGTATAATTTGTCATGGTTATCAAGAATCTCTTGTAGTTCTCTTGAGCTTTTCTGATTCTATGAGAATTTTTCGAATTTTTGTTGGCATTCTAGTGGTCACTGTAAATTCATCAAAATTTTGTATTTTATTCTCGTTTCGCTTGCTATTGTTTTGTCATTTCACAATAATTCAGTGAACACAAAGACAAATTGACGACTACAGTTTTCTTTACGTTTAACAAAAAGAGGAGCAAGTAACAGCTGCGCATGTATGAAGGCATACTTTTGAGGGTTTTGTTAGGTCGTAACTTTCAAATCTAACTTCAGAATTTGTCTGCATGCAGTATCTCGCTGAGACCGAAATCAAGTTTCATCTTTGATTCAAAAGTTTCGTACTCGATCTCATAAAATTCATCGCGTTAAACATGACGAATCTCTCTCTTTAGGTTTTGATAGACAATACAGAGTTTTTAGTTTCGAAGTCCTTTCCGAGGTGATGTTTTGACTATAAAGATGACCTCGATCGATAGGAGTATTTTGTGCTCTATTCAGATTAGAAATAATCTAGATGAAATATTATGGACAATGGTTTCGATAATGAATGCTCTTCTGCCGAGATCGTTTGTTCGAATCTATACTAGCTTCAGAGCTCTTATGTTTTCGACTACAAAATACAGGATAAAACTTCCATTCATGTTCAAACCAACTGAGACCTCTGAGAGATAACTAATGGACCACAAAGGGTCTTTCGAATTCGATTTTGTGAAACGAAATTAGTGAAATCGCCATTCCTTCACTTCGAGAATTCTCGGGATGTTCAGTTTGAGCCTCGATAGAATTCGTGAGTTTTGCAACATTCCCAACAGATTGTGGTTATTTCGTGAAATTTTATGAAAGTTGCAGAGAATTTTCTTGTGTTTCCTGCTATTGTCTTGACATTATGAAATTTTTAGCCAACTTTGACAGTTTTTCAAATTTCGATGAAATACTCAGCAATTACTTTCGAAATTTCAACAAACTCTTGAGATGATTTTCCGTAGTTCTCTAAATATCAATGGAGTCCTTTCTGATGTCTTAGAGTTTTCTCGAAAACCATCAGAAGTCATGCTGTATTCGATGAAAATATTACTCTTTTTCCTTAAATATTATGAGACGTAGTGCTTTTCTTTTACAACTTTGTAGAATCCGGTGAAACTACCCGGAATGCCCGCGAGAGGCACAGATGCGGATATTGATTTCACTCACAGTTAGCATTGGTTCAAAAGGAATGAGTATGTTCTGTCAGTGAGATAGACCGCTTTCATTATGGTGTCAATTAATGGTTGATAGGAAGAAATTGTCTGTTATCTAACAGTGATTGAATTATATGATCCAAAAAGTCATTTTTACGAGAGAGTAATCGTTTATTCGGAGTAACAAACTTGATTTTGGCGCAGGTTGAGATTTCGATGTATTTGTTGTACTTTTCGGCACAGCAGTGGCAATGACTGTGGCGTGACTTGACTAAGAAGAATCTTAACGAAGAGAAAATAGTCTCATTGTTATATGTAAAAGTTCACACTAGCAATGATATAGGTATCATCTTTACTATTTGATGAAGATCTGGTGATGAATCGAATGTTTGTCAAGAAAATAGAACAACCTTAACTCGGCGTTCAATACTAGACTTAGAATGGTATTTAAAAAACGAACTAAGCTTGAAATCATATGTTGCTATCTATAGCAGGGATGTTTCTAATAATAGATGTCAATGAACAAGCCTCAACTATTGTCATTCTAGTCTTTTTAGAGGATTTACTAACCTAAATCGTATTTCTTCTTAGGAAATTCCTAGAGTGATCATTCAGGATCCTAAGTGGTCAGGACCTGATCAACTTTGGATCCGAGTTTTGTCTCTTTGCTCTAATGATATCGTCTTCCAGTTATACAACATTAATTTCCATGTAACTAGGTTTGCACATAAGAGAATTATAGCAACGATGAATGTGGCTCTACTGATATCTTTGATAGCAAATCTTGTCAAATATAGGTGAACTTCAAGTTAATCGTTATAGTAGAGTGGAGCAGAGGTAAGCGTGCACAATTCAGAAACCAAATATTCTATGTGTTCACTTGTGTAGCGTCCTGGAATTCAGATTCTGATACGATCTTGGGAGGACTCTGTAAGCCTTTTTCAAGAAATCGAAGAAAATGCTTTGACATGTAACTAGAAATTTGAAAAGGATTATTAAAGAGTTTTCAATCAAGAATAAACCAACCCTGATACAATCTGGGTTCACATGTAGTGACTATCGGTTACGTTTCTGATAAAATTCTATCTTTAGTGTCATTAGGACGATGGGTATTTTTCATTCACATGACGAAAAAAAAATTGCATTTAAAATAACTTGCACTATCGATGAATTAAATTTCAGCTTCACCGACCTGAAATAGCCAGATAGACGGAGCGAAATATGAAAATCTGCTCACTGTCTGAAACCAACCTACTTCTAAAAGTTTCAAAATCTTTTATTTGCTGCTTTCGAGAAGCCTCAGAAAGTGGACGAGATGCTTATAAATATATTGTTAATGCTTTACTCATATCTGTGACGGCTAATCTCAATTTTTTTTCTTACCTAAACTCATATTGTTGGGTTTCTGTGCTACAGATGTAGCAGTTGCAGCGTGTGAAGTTACCGATCCAATGGCTCCTTCTTCTTTGCTGTCATTATCATCATCAGTAATTTCTTTCAAATGTATCATATGTAACCCGCCATGATGATGTAACGGATTTGATACAACTTTAAACATTGTACCCGGCATTAGAATAACTTCATTTTCGTTAGGGAAGCATGTGTATGCTGTTATGGATTTTCCAGTTGAACATTCAATACTGAATAATGTGCTCTGAGCTTTGTTGAGAAACGATGAAATGACATCAACAGATGTTGAACATGAGCTGACACTCCACCAAGTTATTCTTTGACCTTTTCTGAACGTCTGACTAACATCTTTATTGACTCCACGCCAGACAATACCTTTAAAATCTGGTAGTTTAGATGCTGCAGAATCCAAAAGCTTTAAATATGCAAACCACGGATGAACTTCGGCTCGGTTTTCAGCACGAAGTGCTTGATTTAAAATACGATAGATAGATGCATCTTTCGACATTTCCATGGTGTAAAGATAAACTGTGGCAGCTTCATCTTTGGTTAAATTGTGCTCATTTGGATATGTACAATATCTTTTGGCATATTTAACGAATCGAATAATTTCTGGTAGAAGAACATGTAGGTCACCCATAGCTTCTTCAAGAGGCAATGCTGCATGTGTAATGTAGCCATGACATGCTGGCAGACGTTTATTTTCCAGCTCAACATCTGTAAAACGTTCACCTGACCCTGTCATTGTAATGAACTGATGATTTTTTGTGTTTCGTTGCCAAGCGGCTCACTTGATTTTCTAAAACGAACAAGAATGAAAAGCATAATTTCATCCTTCTTGCATTAGTATTTTTATTTCTTTTTCACCATTTACCACATTCTTTCGTTCTCAATATATCCCTTTGATCAAAACCAATCGAAAACCTACTTCTTTGAATAAGTTCTCTATACTATTGTTTTTTTTATCTCATAGTTGAATATCGGAATTACGTTGTGAATTACACTACTTGTCTTCAAGGTTTCAACTGTAAATGACAAGAAATATATAAGAAAGTTGGGATTGGATATCTCCAGTAAATTATCGATCTCGCAGCTAAAATTAGTTGACGTCGCAGTTTCAATGATATTTTAAACTCGATTCTTGGTTTTGATGCTTCACTGTCTCGTAATGGACCTGCCGTTATAATGATGATAAAATTAGTGATGATTCTGCATTTAATTTGTTGGCCTGCTGCGCAAGTTCCTGTCAAGAGACTCCACATCGATCCAAAAACTCTCCACTATTGTCAAATGTTTTCAAGAAAGGCATATGACTGCATAGAATTTTATGATCGTGTTAGTATTCAGTCTCTCTACAATATAAACTTAAAATGGAAAGACTCTAATATATTGCTCTTACATATTCTAAGCTCAACAGCATTATGAGATTCAGCGTAGTCAAATATTCTGATTGGAAACTACACACACTAGAACAAAAATCGAATGTAAAATATCGTTAAAACTATACCCTACACAATAAAAATTCTGGGACACTTCAGAATGACTTGTCAAAATTATATATCTTATTGGAATTAAAGTTTATATCTACAGGGTGTCTGAAAAGTAGTTCCCTATTTTAAATTCTTGTTTTCTCTTTAATAAGAACAGATATTGTGTTACATTTTTTACTATTTTGAAGCATGCTTTATAAATGTTGTTTTACACAAGAAAGAATGTTAATGAAGTGACTATGTAAGATCAAACGCAAATTTCATCTGAAGATTGCTTGAAAAATAACTTCTTATTTTTCATCGTTGATTACGTTTATACAAAGCATATATTGTAATATTTTTTTTCTATTTTGAGGTGTGTGTAATACGTTTACGCGATAATGTCTCAAGAATAGTCGTGACAGTATTGCATTTCAAAGCCATGAAAAAATTATTACAACATATATGCTTTGTATAAAAGTAATCAACGATGAAAAATAAGAAGTTATTTTTTAAGCAATCTTCAGATGAAATTTGCGTTTAATCTTACATAGTCACTTCATTAACATTCTTTCTTGTGTAAAACGACATTTATAAAGCATGCTTCAAACTAGTAAAAAAAGTAACACAATATCTGTTCTTATTAAAGAGAAAACAAGAATTTAAAATAGGGATCTGCTTTCCAGACACCCTGTATGGTTAGTGTAGTTATTGCTTAATATTTGATATTATACCATGTAGACGCAAAAGTTCTCGTTTTATTTAACAAGAACTTTTGCGTCTGCATGATATAATATCAAATATTAAGCAATGACTACACTAACTATATATATAAACTTTAATTCGAATAAGATATATAATTTTGACAAGTCATTCTGGAGTGTCCCAGAATTTTTTGCGTAGGGTATAGTATGTCAATTAATTTATGCTGCAAGGATACTAAATTACTTGGAATACAATACCAACTTTCTCATCTATCTCTTATCATTTTCAGAAGAAGCTTCAAAGATTGGTAGAGTAACTATTAATATACCTGTGACATGTCATAAGGAGATAAAAGGCAAAAGTTTTGAGAACTTATCAAAAGAGCCAGGTGTTCACTTTACTTTGATCAGGGAGATGATAATATTGAGAATGCCATAGTAATAAACTCTAAGGTCTTATGAATTTTATAAAACGCAGTCTAAAAAGAGTATTGATGTGTATAGGGTAGAGAATTTGCACGCCTCCTCCAGACCGCGATAGACGTCTTATTTAATAAATTGATTAATAAAATAATAAACAGTTAACTAATGACTAATTAATAATTGATTAATAACATAGTAATGTTACCCTAATGAGTAATTAAGGAGTATTGAAGGATGTATCTTGAAAACTAAACCACACATTCGTGACCAATGTTTTTGATACATGATTAGTGGTCATATATCAATAACATCTCATGAACATATATGGTCTACTTTGTTCTTGCAGTTGTAGAAGATTAAGTAAAAGATGATGAAGAAATGCGTCCCAAGATAGATTGATTGAAACAATATTCTCGTTATCAGTAACAACAGCTACATCATGTTTCATATTTTAATCCTGCGGGGTGTGGGTGTGGATGTGGATAAATACTACTCACACTCATATACAAAAAAAGAGATTGTTTTCACCCATAATCGGAAACAACGATTGTGAGCAAAACCGACCACCTATCTCTTTACATATATGCGTTGGCTATTTGCTACTGTTTGAAGTGTGTTACTGATGGAAGAACATTTGGACGTTTAACTTATTTCTGCATAAAATCTCACCATAATACAACTTTAAAATTCTCTCTATTAAAAATATACGCATGCAGACAGGCTTGAATTGAGAATCGGTATACCTTCGATATCTCGCAATTTCAATGAAGTCTTATGATTTTTTTGGAAACCTTGATAATGCCATAACTTCAGAGAAACTCAGTATTTCGGACTGAACTTAAGACGACAAAAGCTTTAATCACAGACCTTCCAATGTTTCAGCTTGTAGCACCATTAGATATACAATATGAAAATGCCGTTCTGAGAAGACTTCCGTAACATTAACCTATTAGCATCAATTTACCATTATCTAATACTATATTACAAAATCTCGAGCTTTTCTCTCTGTTCGCTGATATTTTCAGGGTAGCATGCCTGTCAAGGAACTTTGTAGTGTGACAGTGCTTCTTTATGCTGTGGGACTATAAACCGATGCACGATTCGGGTATGGATCTTTTCTTAAGCTACATATACACCCACAGTATAGAAACATCCTACCCCTCGATACCTTAGTTCGAGTAGAATATATGTGATCCTCTTTGTCTTGATATTTAATTATTCCTTACTGGCAAAAATCACACAAGATAAACAACACTCAGTGAGACAGGACTCATTTTAATATGATAAAATGTGTTCTTTTTATACAGGCAATAAGATGGGAAAATGATTTTGATTTTTTTCAAAAAAGCAGATTTGTAGGCTTGATTGTCGTTAGACTTGCTTGCTTTCTCAAAAAAGATTTTTTTGAAGCCGTAAAACGTTCACATTTTAAAGGGTGAAAACGCGGCTTTTTATCGACTATGCCCGACTATGAATGTTAAGTATCGCTTACCTGCGCACGTGTTTTTATAGATAAGGTGGTTGAATGAATTTTTTCTGCCTTACAAGCTGTGATAAACGTCTATTAACACATTTCTTCGTCATCTCGAGTGAAGAACAGAGCAAGAGAGACCATACAAGCTATTGAAGCTACTCTCCTTCGATCACAACAACGACAAACAACGTTGCATTTGTACGGCATCAAGATGTTGACATAGGTGAAACAATTTCTGCTGCTTGTATTTGTGTTTAGATTTTCGAAAAAGTAAATTTTTCAATCGACGAAAGTTTCCGTCTTAGCTCCATAATGCATAGAAAACTGAAAGAGAAAGTTCGGTAATTTCCAAAACTTACCAATCTAAATCTTATCACGCTATGTAAATATTTAAATATTTAAAAAAAAGATGCTACCCTCAAAATAGTTGGAAATTTTGGAAATTTCCAAGATATGTCAGAAATTACCAAGAAGTTTCAATAGCTTTTGAAAATTCCAATCTAAATCTGATGACTCTATATAAATATTTACATAATAATAAGAGGGTGGTACTCTCAAAATACTTGGAAATTTCAGTAATCATCAAGGATGTGAGTGTGAGTATGGGTATTCATGATGGGAAGAAAACCACACCCCGAAAAAACATATTCCATTACAAGTTTCATAAATAATTACAAACATTAAAAATAATCGGAACAGCTAAGAAAAAGATATTCAACAATAGTTGAATCAAACAAACATTCATACACGTATGATTAATAGAAAACTCAATATTCATAATTGAAGTGGTCAAATTTGTCTAAACACCGTACATTGATGTCGTCAATGGCCATATATAGGTCATTAGCTAATACTCAATAAGACTTCAACTAACGAAATGAAACAGTAATACAAGCGAAATATTACAAATATCAACAATTAATCAAAAACTAAACAGAAATATTTCTCTACTATTGATATTCAGAGTTCAGTGTTTCGGTAGTATAGTCGCAGATGAGGCTAACTTTGAAAAAGAACTACGACGTACTTAAGTCTGTTGTTAATTTGTTTGTTATGGTTGGTACAGTTCTGCAAGCTCTGTACCAGCGATATTATCAAATCTAGCAGCAACTAACACTTTTCCATTGCTCAACAACGATACATTGTATACCCATCGTTCGACATTCAAGCTGGTAGTTGTCATCCATGTACCCATTGATGGCTCATACAAGTCTGCATTCGTTAGAGTACTAGTGGAATTCGATCCACCAACAACTAATACCTTTCCATTCGTCAATAGTGATGATGTGTGAATATATCATCCAAAACTTAGATTACTAGTTAATGTGTGGGTGTGGGTGTGGATGGCTGTTTTCTTCACAGCCACAGCCACAGTCACACCCACACACACCCACATCCACACATCCACACCCATACTCACATCCACGTCCACCCCCACCCACACCCACACCCACACCCCACACCCACACCCACACCCACACCCACACCCATCTAGGTATACACAAATCAATTGATATAAATATCGTACTCTTTCTCTTTAAAGATATTTTCGTAGTCAACACTTTATCATGATCATTATGAAGATTTTTATTAAATCAAAAGTATACCAGAGTAATACTGATCCAATCATCAATGACTACCATGAGAATAATCGCTCGAATATTTCTTGAAATTTCAGACTACATAAAGCCACCGACACATTAGAAGACCCGGGGTCTTCTATTCTGTCTTATCGCTCATAAGTTACAAGGGGGGTCTTCTATTATGTCCCCTAAAAAGTTATATTTTTCACCAGCCTTTCCAACAAATTTTTGTTTCAATTCAATTTTGTTCTACATAATCGTTAGAAAAACAGTATTTTACTTATTCGACATGTGTATGATGAGATAGTAACAAATTTTATCCTGTGAAAAAAAGAGAGTCTATCATTGATAATAAATATTCTTAGAATATTAAAGGAAACGTACCCGAACACCTTGGTAAAATGTTCACTAACAGTTTTTTTCTAAAAAATAAGATCTGCCATTGAACAAATTTTAACTTCTCAATAACTAAATATCTCAGAAAAAGAATTAAGTTGTTTTATCAAACTCAATTGAATTTATTGTTCTTGTTTATTTTTGACTAATATTAATGGACTCTGTTCACATCAAAATCTACTAATAGCATATTTATAAGTCTCAAGCCGACGTCAATGAATACATTTGTATTAAGAATAAGCAATTAATAAAGAAACAGTAGTTGGATACACATTTTGTGTTTTCTTCTTAGTCTTTTTTAAAAATTGACTTCAGGTTTTATTGAGTATAGAAATGCGTTCTGAGTCTCATGAGAAGTAGTTACAAAAAAACCGATGCGTATTAGAGACGAAAACCAAATCGAATTGTCGAATGATCTTCTTCGATTGAATTTGTCTGAGGCGAACTGAATCCGATCGAAGTTGTTGCCGAATTGAGATTTTCTTATTCGTTTCTGTCTTGAGCGTATATCCATGAGTTCACGTGTTTTTCAATTATGAAAGAATCCTTTGTGATGAATATGTTTCAGAATTTCTAGAAATCCCAGATAATGAGGCTTTTTAATTATTAGGTAATCAAGTTTCACCTAATATGGTACTATTTTACAAAGATCTCTTTATGCGTTGCATCCACGGTTCTTCACTGAGTCCATCATAATCCACGGCCATGAGAAGTTTTTTTTGCATAGAGAACCGTAAAAATTCCTTCGGAATATGCTGTAAAAGACCCCTAAAAAGGTTCCATGATATGTATTCTACAAAGAAATACATTCTTTACTAAATAGTTGTTTTCTATTCATCGTTTTGCAAGACTTTTTTCACTTCGAACTGATGCATCATTTTCATGAATGAAGCAAAATATTGTTCATACTGATCTAAGATACAATTATGGACTTAAATACTAAAAAAGTTAATAAACTCCAGAAATTATTTGTAAAAAAAATCGATTTTGCCAGGGGGGTCTTCTAATATGTCTTTTGCTTCATTTATCCAAGGGGGGTCTTCTAATCTGTCAATGGCTTTATAAAATGTCGTGTTTATTTCAAGATGAAAAAAAAGAGGAAAAAGCAGTTCGCCTGCTGTTTAGTTGTTTGAATTTAAATTTTGATATAAAAGTTTTCAAACGGTGTGTCTTGTACATTTCTAGCATGGATTAATCGTTTTTCTTTTCCAATTCGAATTTCAACGTCAGTATCTCTGGTGGTATTTTGTCATTATACAATAATTGAAGTAGATCTTCTACAGCCAAATCACTTGTAACTTCCGATCGGTCGTCATTATGGATCGAAAATAGTTTATAAGAATCGAACTCTTCGTCTTCCATGTGCAAGGAATTCAATACATACTTGATAATTTCGGACAATAACGTTTCTTGATGACACGGCAAAACTACTGTTCGATTAGTATACAATATGCAGCATTTGATGTTTGCAGTGGAAATTAGTTGAAATTCGAAGTTGTTGTCATGTGTCTCAAGATCTTCAAGAAGGATTGCTTCATCTATTTTCGATTCATCATAATGGAAGCAATAGAATTGTTTTTCTACTCGAAACAGTTGGCATGCGATTTCTAAAATTCGTTCGATACTTGTCGACGGTGAGCAGTAAAACGTCAATGAACGATTATCATCTTCGGGATTATTGACTGTAACAGCTGTTGACAGAATAGTATCAATTAATGACAAGTGTATGGGTGATGCAAAACAAGATAATGGTGTATCTTCCGAAGGGGCAAAATCGTTGTTGTAGAGAAGTTGTTGCTTGCCAATATCAATATTGTTCTCTTTCAAAATGTCGCCAATCGTTGTCCATGTTGTAAATCGCTGATGGACAAGTTCACTTCCATTATCGTTCTTTCGACTCTCTATTAAAACAATACACGTTTCATTTTCTTTAACCAAAAGAAAATTTTTCGTATTCAAATTTATAACGATTTCATTGTTTTGATAAATTCTATGAGTATCATTCGATGCCAAATATCGATCGACAGAGTTAACCATTTGTATCTGCTGTAATAGTTGTTCGATAGTCGTAGTAGAATCTTTAAGGAAGATTTCCATTTTTTGTTGATCATCATTTATGAGAATGTTAAGACGAACTAATACTCGAAAATGAATGGTTTCACTATCGTTACATTGATATGCACCGACAGATTTTTGTAAATCGACTTCGGAAAGTATTTTATCCATAGTTTCACTAAGTGATAGACAACAATCGTTCAAAGAGGTATGCATATCCAGATTTGACCAATATCGATTATTTAATAAACGTGCAATTGTCATTGATTTTAATGTACGAATATGTTGAGTAGCTATTCCAAAGGAGAAAATAATATGCATAGTCTGATCTTGAGAAATACCATCCACATTTGTCACTGGTATTTCTAAAGATGCAATTGACTGATTTTCATCGTTGATACTTTCATTATCTCGATTCCAATATACGCAGGACGATTCAATTTCTGGCAGAACTAATTTTCGCCAAACTTCGATGTGCTGCCATTTGATCATTGGATGAAATACATTCGTTTTCTTTTCACCTATAAAACTCAAATAATCAGTTGATATTCGATATAAACCTATTCATATGGGCGCTATGCTCCATTCTTCATAAACAGAAACTACTCAAACTTGGATATTTGTTCTCTTCTATGGATAGAAAACGTCAACGACTAAAAATTTGAACCCAAATCCAAGCATTAAAATTACTTGATATTCATACAATCTTTCTCTTATCGTGTGATTTAGTGTTTTAAATATTTACAGTTTCGTAACTTATGAGTATTACCAGATAAAATAGTCTGCAAAATAGTAGAAAAATTTTAAATGTTGAGTACAGATGTTGTGGAACATAGACATCATATTCTATCTCTATTTTCAACAACTTTCTCATATTTAGATGTATTCCAAACACATAAAAGTATTCATCGGTTAATATTTATTACGACGCAGGACAAGTTATGCATCCATATTCTAAAATTTTTAACCTGTTTACTCAAAAGTGTCTCAATCGCTTTGATTATACCAGTAGGTAATTCTGTTAGATGACTGCAGATCTCATCTCGTTTATACAGATATATTTGCATTGTCGATGATGAATAACACATGAATGTGTTTGTATGACTTACCTCGATTTGATGTTAGCGTAATTTCAAATAGAGTAGCACTATCGTCTTGTTCTTCAATCTGAATAACGATTGGAAGTTCACCATTTTCTCGATATAAATCTCCAATGTTTCCACCGTCAATAAATCGTCCGATTTCATCATAGAAACAATAACGACTATTACATGACAGCAATTTTAGATTTTGATTGTTAACAAGACGATCAGTGAGAGAATAGAAATGACAATCGGCCATGGTTGTATAGTTGAGTGATTGCGTTCCGAGACGAAATTCAATAGAAAGTAACATAGCCTTTTCCACGATACAATATTCCACTGGCAATGGCATTGGTAAGGGATTGTTATCGTTAGTTAAATCGAACAATATTCTATTGTTGTCGACTACAGCATAGGTATTTGAATCATATTTCCTTTCTTTAAATGTTTTTCTTAGTTGTTCATACAGATTGTCACATTTACACAAACACGACTGACTTTTACCATCGGGATGTGTAATGACGAATTTTTGTACCTTTTTCAATGGACCGACTTGCTGTGCTTGTTGATCATTTCTTTCGGAAACTTGTTTGAATGAGGTGATTGGAACTCTATTGATATGTAATTGAAAGAGTGATGAATATTGAAGGATATCTGGTTCATCGGTAGTGTCATCCTCGTTATCACTATCATCACTATTGAAGCTGTTCATTGAATAATCCGATTGAGTTTCAAGTTTTCCATGTAAATATCGATGATAACGATTTTTTTCTATGATATCCTGTTCATTTCGATCAGAATGGAAATTTTCCTCCCAAAGATGTGCTGTTTTCTCTTCGATATTTATTTTTCGTTCTTGTAGAATTGATTGAACTTGATTGAGATAAATAGTAAGAGAAATATAATTTTCACATTTAATTTCTTCTGGTATCAACGTGGCAATGTCATTATCGACACCCATATTTGTACAAGTCAATCTTAATGATTCATTCGATTGTTGTAAGAGAATATCTTCAATGGATTTTAAATCGTACAAGAATTGATTTATGTGTTGGATATGTGATTGTAGATCGTCGATATTTTCTTCGTAAGTAACGTTAAGAAGTTTTGTTTCAAAGATTTGTTGAAGTGTATTACTCAAATCGGCATCGATCGGAATTCGAAGGAGATCAGGAATATTAGCAAAGGAATATTCGAATGTTTTAATCAATGTTCGATATAATTTCCCGACAAGATTCAAATGACATAATTTAAAATCTCTGACATCATATTGAACCAACTGTTGCATGAGAGATTCATTCTGCGGAATCGATTGAATCAATTCATAGACACTTACGGATGATGAATCAGTCGATTCATTTTTTATGATTGAAGCAATTCGTTTCAGAAGATTATAACCATGATACAGTTTATCCATGAGCATATCATTCAAATGAGTCCAATCATCTTCTAACGGCACCGAATAATTTTCATCGAGATCAAATGTTTCATCATCGTACATAAGCACCACAGGAGTCATTTTTCGTGGTTCATAAAGCTGATATTTTTGAGCAATATGTTGATAATTGATGTGACATAAAAGAAGATATGTTCGGATGATATACGATTGAATATAAGCAAAATCAAAATTGAATGATGTGTCCAATTTTGGAAAATAGTTTTTTCCAAGCATGAGACTTGCACGTAAAATTTGATCGATCCATGAACAATTGCGATCGTTCAAAGTGATCACACCTGTATTATAGAGTGCAATTTGTGTAATGGATATTTTATTTGGTATAAGTTTTTTAACTAAGAATCGTAACACAGTATTGCTATTGTGATTGATTGTATCACTGTCGAATTCTTGTTCGATTAAATCCAAGAAATTATTGTGATAATCGACGAGAATGCTTGAAATATATATACAAAAAAACACTTCGTTTTTTCCTCATCTCTGATCTCGAAACGTAAGGTAATGTTTGCCTGGTGTAGGTGTGAGGTGTAAGCGGCGGTTTGTAGTAGAAGTCAGTATGCACACCCACACCCACCCAGGCTCAGATTCTAGTGCGGGTACGACTAATGGCTACTTAAAACACATGGGTACTATCTTCTGAGTACTTTGACTAGGTTAATCATGTAACTGGTAAGACATAATGAATAGTGGCTTTTCGCATCACATATCTTCATCAATTGATAGATTATCCTAGAAAGCTCATTTTATCTGTGCACATTTAGTTTTCAAAGTGGTCGAAGTTCTGTGCAATCAATTTTCGACGTTGCGAACAAAGTCATCTCTTGGTGCAAGATGAATACCTTTTCTAATTCGATCAATGAGTGAATCAAAACTTTCAACTTTATCCTACTGCATATTATTAGTAACAGATCAATTATTCACATAATAACTTTCCGTTGATCTCTCAATGTCATTTCTTTTTACTAAATAATAGCATTTATAAAATAGTGACTCTTTATTATGTAGTGTGTATGTGCCTCCAACACGTGCCTATCAGAGTCGCCAAAAAAAAACGATTAGGCCACATATCGATTGGTCTTAGATGTGACCTTGTTCGCAGCGTCGAAAATTGGTCGCACAGAACTTCGACCACTTTGAAAACTAAATGTGCACAGATAAAATGAACTTTCTAGTTTAGCTTGTTGAGCTTTTCATCCTATATCTTCTAATGTATTTGAGTTTTTAATAAAACCTAACAACTGATAAACATATGTGATACGAAAAGAGATCACTCATAATGTCCCACTCTTTAGTATTAAAATAATGTTGTTATACGTTACCTGAGTATCCGCATAATAATATCTCCTTCATCTGGATTTTCATTGGTAACCAAACAGTGTACTCGTGTTTCCAGTGAAATTTTCATAAAACGCTGAGTCTCGTCACAAGGACCTGGTCGAATGAGACCATTTGTAAAGATATGGTACGCATTGACTGCATTAATACCTTTCATGATAATGTCCATATGATCTTTCGCCTCATTTCGACGATGTCGAAATGTGTAATTACTTAAATGTTCTTTAGCTCGATGATACAATTCTTTTAAGGTAATTTCCAGAAACTTTTCGCGTTCAATTAATTGAGCATAGGTCTGATGAAGCAGAAGATAGAATCGACTTAGGTCGTACATATATTTTGTCATTTGGAGAAACTCCGTGGAATCAAGAAATCGTTGTAGGACTCGCAAAGCTAAGTGCGAATTTCTTGGATTGTACATTTCCGTTCTGCAATGTGTTGTCTGAACAACTATTGGCATTTGAGAAATATATCTTTGTAGATCAAATTGTATTTGCGATTGTAATTGAACTCGATTAACATAAGTTTTATACTGAGTAAATTGCTCATAGATATGATAAAACACTTCGTTTTGATACCGTTTTTCTGCATTTAGCTTACTGTTTATGTCTTTATAGAAAGGTTGTATCCATGCATGTTTCGAATGAACTGTAAGATATGCCATTCGTTCAAAACAGCAGTTCAATAGAATACAAGCATCGTCTTGATTCGAACGTATCGACAAAAAGTTAAAGACAGAGAACAAACGAGCACGAACAAAATGACAAATTTTTGCTCGCAGACTGTTACCACCCATTTGACCAGTTGGTGTATTATCCGCAATAGCACTGGGCGATAAGATAGGACCGTGAAGATTTTCAATCGATTCAGCGTACAAGAGGAGATGCCACGCCTATATGAGCCATCACAAGGAATGAAAACTAGACAGAACAATATTATAACAACTCACCATTGCACCAAATGTCAAAAAATAAACGACATAAACTGCTGGAACATTGAGTTGACCGGTATGTCCATTGTTGAAATAATGAACAAGCTCGCCAGTCTCGGTTATGATACAACCACAATCGTAATGAATGTGATTCCTTTTAACGATAGACTGACGAGTAGATCCGAAACCTAACATAAATGACACATAGATTCATTAAATTCTTATATCTGCGAAAGAAACAAAGTCAAGCTTAAAACAATATTAGAAATAACAGGTAACACAACATATGAAAATTTCTATTAACCGAATTCATTACAAACAAACAAGTTTTAAATAGAACTACAATTTTACTGTTGTCATGACAACTATCAATACAAGTCTCTGTAAAGTGAAATCGATCATATTTATGAAAGTACTGGATCATTTGTGGCACATGCCTAGAGGACTACTCCTCAGGATGTTTCCATTGTTCTCGAATAAAAATCGAATGCAGTTACTATTGCCGATAACTACTTACCGAATGTGTTCTCAATAGCCAATGGTTGAAATGCAAATGTCCAAAGAAAACTTTTCGCCCCTCCTTTGATAATCATAGCCATCAGATTAACCAGTAAATGTCGAATACATAACTCATCTGCTGCTTTACAATCTAATCTGAATAAATAATTCAAAAAATTAGAATCAGTAGTATTGTTTTCGTGAGGGTAACCAATCATATAGTGTTCAGGATCTAACAAACTACGAAAGACAAGTAATTCTTCAGGTGTCGGTTGTAGTGTCGTTTCAATTACATTGAGCAACGTATTCAGTAACTGCAATTGATTGTTACAATAATAATTGTAATAAATATTTAACAATAGCATCACTTTAATATCATTTTTATGTATTTCGATAGAAGCTGTATTTAATTTGAGTTGAATCCAATCACATAGAGGTTTCCATCGTGTTTCGATTTCGTTGTTGGTACACGTGATAATTATTTCACTTAGTTCATTGTAAGGTTGATGAAGATTTGGAAAAATCGATAGGTCATGGCTGTTAGGTGATAATGCAAACTGAAGTTGATGGGAAAACTGTAGATATTTGCTCGATTTCGGTATTCTTTTCAATTCCAAATGCCGATACAAAATGTTTGCCCACGTACTATTCAATTGTTGTATAGTATCCGATTTTAATATATTCAAGAGAAAATTCCATGAACGTTTTGATACAATTGTTGATAGGAAAATTTGTAGATGAGAACTAAGTTGAGAGGTTGTTTCGTCAATGGAGAGATATTGTTTGATTAAATCTTTGAAACAATCCATGAATTCGTTGGAATCATCAGCATTGGATTCTATTTCGCATAAGTATAAAGCCACTGAACGTAAGAGAAAATACTCTCTCAATTGTTTGCATATTACTTGAACCGCAGACGTCAGACCTTGATCTCTGATTTTAGGTGGTTTTAATGCCATTAATTCATTGATGAGGGTCTGGTTGATTCCATTCTCATTGACATATCGATCAAGATGAAAGAAGAATAAATCGAGTAGGATTGGACGACTGCCTTGATGCTGCTCAAGGACAAACGGATGATAAGGTATGTGGTAATTCTGCAACAAATTTTTATCTGAAATACACTGGATAACAATCGGTAGCACACACTCTATATAGTCCACTAGAGATGATTCATTCAACGGATCCTGTTCGAAAGTTAGATCTACCAGTTCGTCAAATAAGAATTTTTTTACTGGCATCGACCATTGACATTTTGAATTACCTAGACAAACGAAAATATTATTGATGTCATCTTGAGTTCGTGGTTTCGACGTTCTTAATATTGACAGTATCCATTGTTGAAAATCAATCATTAAGCTACTACTGCCAGCATGTTCGTTGTCAATTCTATTTGACAAATATTCATGTATAATATTAATGATAGTTGGTAAGATTTTGAGGTAAGATGATTTATTATTACTGATACTTGATCTAAGCGTATCACGTGGTTGATGTTTCAATAATTGAGTGACGAGTTGTGTTGGATCTGGTATTGTTTCATCCACAAAAATTGAATAGGACAAGCGCATAAATTCGATTTGATTTCCGATATCAACAAGTTTCGTACTACATAGAAGCGCATCTGATGGGTAATATTTGTAAATAAATGTATACATATAAGTCCATTGTTGAATATCTTTTTCATCTGTACTTGCACACAGTTGATTTAATTTGTTCCATAAAAGATCGAACAGAAATCGAAACAATTCTTCACGTGCTTCTGATCGAGTTGAATTTTTGTTCTGGCACAATTCGTCAAAGTACGATCGATTTTCATGAAAACTATCGATAATTCGATAAGCTGAATAGATTAATGAGATATCATTTTTTTCATATTCAAATGTTGTATAAACCTGAGCCAAACGAAAAATAAGTTCAGATGAAGATGTTCCTAATAGTGTCTGCTCATTGTCATCCTTTAATAATAACCAATTCGAAATGAAATTGATGGCATTTATACATTGAATTTGATCATTGTTGAATTTTCCCTCAATGGTCATGCAATATATTCGAACTAAATCATTGGAATAACAACTAACAATATTCTCCGAGATAATATCTGTTAAGATTTTATTTTTCTCCATCGATTTTGCCAGTTTTAAGCAAAATTGTTCTTTCGAACATTCGTTTACTTGGTTTATGTCGTTATTATCCATACCATTGGTTGTTGGCTGTAGTTTGGAATCTAAAGAATCAATTGTCAATCTAGTAGAAGGTATCTATTCAATATGAATCTATTTATTACAGTAGAGGAAGAAAATTATTTTTTTCGAAACTAACATCTGTTTCTTTCGAGTAAGTCAGTGACATAAGTAGTTTTCATTAAATGTGTATTCTAATTTTGAGAGATTTCGGCTGATCAGAATCTATTTTGGTAGTTTGATACCGAGAAGTTGTTAAACATTAGTGTAGGGAATATTTTCAATCAACGAGAATAGAGTCACAGTGAAAAATGCTCACAGTGGAAATTATGATTCTAAAAACTTCTAAGTAATTTAACTTTTCATCACGTAATTCCTTCAACGTCTCTGAATAATTCTATCGCTAAAAGCGTTTGAGAATTTTATAGGAATATAATATTCGATAAAACTTGTCGACTATGATAGGATCACATATTTCAATGCCTTTTAATTAAAACGAGGGTGTGGGTGTGAGTGTGTGGGCGTGAGTGTGGGTGTGGGGTGTGAGTGGGTGTGGGGGTGTGGGTGTGGGTGTGGGTGAGTGTGAGTATATTTTAACAGAAGACACACATTTACACCCACAGCCACCCACACCTACACCCACACCGACCGACACCGACCCACACCTACACCCACACCCACACCCACCCTTAACAAGTTAGTTCTAGAAAATATTATAAAAAGAAGATTTAACGAACCAATAATTTTGTTTTGAGTGTGAGTCAACTCTTGTTTGATGTCATCAGCATGTGCTTTGATTTGCTGATGGAACAATTGGTAGAGTGGTGTTTGTAGAATACACTCATAGTGTGTAACTAATTGAAATATTCCTTGAGTTGGCGATGGGGATTTTTCGTTAATATTAACATCAAGAGCAAATGAAGTATAATCAATTAGATTCAGAGTTGAACCGACATTGTTTTGTTTGGCCGATAGTTTCGATAATGTTTCTAAACCATAATCATTGGCAAGATATTTCAATAGATTGGAAACAAAATTCGTTAATGAAGCTCGAATTTGCAGTTGAAGAGCGTCAACTAAACCTATTAAACGTTTACCACATAGAATATCTTTCGACATTTGATAGATTATGTTATAAGGACTTTGTGATGAATTTTTCTTCTTGGATAATTGTTCATGATAAATATTCATCATTTGTTCTTGTAATTGAGTTAATCGTTGAAGAATTTTTTTTAAACATTCAACACGTTTTGTTGTGCTTGTTTGATTTCGATAGAAGTCATAAGCATTTTCATCGGTGAACATTTCTCGTGGTAATTGTGGAAGAAATATTTGAATTCGTGTACAAAAATCCCATAGACAGTCATCGAAAAGAACATTGAGATCGCATAGAATATATTTGGATGGTTCTTTGAATTGTTTCTTTGGTGATGAGACAATTTGTAACATTTTTTGTAAATGAAAGGCACTTCCAGGTGTACATGTATCAAAGAAATAAAAGTCCCAGCCATGTAAGAAAATTGAAGGAAAACCAGATTGATTGTAAAGTTCTTGTGGTGGAACATGAACAAGCATGATAAAGTATTTTTCTTGTCTCTGATTGTCTTCTTTCTTGTTACATAAGAATTCGGTTTTGTCGATAAGCTGTCGAACAAATAGTAAATGTTGACGTTGTTGTCCAATTTGACCATTAATTACAACAATTAAAACTCTTTTAGGTGAGTCATGTTCAAAAGCACGAAATTTCTCTTCTAAGACAGCGGCATTTTCAACGATAGTCTAAACAAATGTGCACAGAAATATATTCATAATTTAAACCATCTATATGGGTACAACCAGTTTGGCAATAGACCGTTTCAATGCTATTACCTATTTCGCTCTATATCAACAGAAGTCAAATAGCTTCAGAAGAAATCTTAAAGATCGTGTAAGGGATATCATGCTTTTACTTTTTCTGAGGAGATCTGGCGATGCAAGAAGTTATTCTTACAACAGAAGAAAAAAAAATGTACACACTGTATCTTCGCAAAGGCTATATCTCGTGAACTACAGGATTTGTCACATTGTAGATTAATGGGCCTCGTTTACTTGTAGAAAGTTCTGGCTAGATCTACCAGAAGATGATGATTGTAGACAACAAAGAAGTAAAATCATGCGTTTCAGTTTGGCCTAAATCATTTATACAGGTCATGAAAGTAAATACGAGTATTTTTGGCTTATGTCTCTTGGTTTCATTTGTTTGATTCCTAGAATAACTAAAAACAAAATCCATTCTGAAAATAAAGATATTCTGAGTACAGAACCATGAACATTACCGTATATGCATACGTGATTGTATAAACTATGTGAACAATTATGAGCCATACTGACACACATGATTTTTCTTCTTTATTAACTCAAACTACTCTTTTATGATGGATCGAGCTGAGACCTACTGAGGGTCGATGACATCGGATTGCGAAAACAATAGGGCTTCACCGGAACCAGTCGGAAAGGTAAGATGAAAATCATCCTATATGGCAGGAAACCATCGGAAATTGACGAAACATAGAAATAGTATTTCGACCGGAACATCTTCGAATGTTCACCGATGATTTACTGCAGCTCCTTAATGACAATAACAGGAAGTTTATCAGGATTGAGAAAAAATCAGAAATTTTCCGGTCGGAACCCTACTTCCATGTTTTTATGAAAACGATACAAACTAATCTAGAATGTAACGAAAGCCTAACTCACGCGATTTGATCCTTATGAATGTATAGAGTTTGCATAATTATCTTCAGTTGTCTGTATCATTCTGATCTCACTGTTTCAACGGCAAAACATGGAGATTAAACAGCGGTTATACTCACAAGATTTATAATATCCACCATATCACTGATCTTGTCGTTCGAATGGTTCTGTTTATTGAATAATTGATATTCCGATGCTTTATTGATACCAACAACATATGGCGATGTGCGTGTATATATTATTACTTTAGTCGTCGTCATTATATTCATTTCTGCATGTTCCTCAGTAGTTATTCGATATGATGAGCCATTGTCTTCGAAATTTTCGGATGGTTTTTGCAGTAATTCTCGAACTAAATTTTCAATATTGAAATGTTCTTGATGATGAAAATAGTTTTGAAATAACGATTCAGCAAATTTATCTTCAAATGTTGGTAGTTTAAATATGATCGATTCCGGTGAAGCAATTTGAATTAATTTCGATAAGATGGAACGTAGAAGACATTGCTGTTTATTTTCGGGATTTTTTTCAATAAAAATTTTCGTTCTGATATTTAATATTGTGTAAGTTTGCTGAATATTTGTAATGAAACATCGTCGATTTTCATCTGTTTCAATCAACGATAATAAACATGAATAGAGTGTATTATCATTCAATCCATATATATATTGTATACCAAAATGTTTGATAAATGTTTGCATTTTCTTTTCGACATTGTTCATCAGGTTTTGTTCTTCAGCGGAAAGACGTTTCAATTGAATACGATAAATATCAATGATACTTAATGAATATTTTTGAAATCGACTGAGAAATGGTGCTGGTATGTCATCGAATTCATGTCGATTGATATGTACAATACATTGAAAATTATCATTAACAACCACATCGACTGTTTTAGAACCAATGGCTACTTTCGAAAAGATTTTTCTTGTGTCACCTGTCGCCATGATTGAAAAATTCTGATTAAATACATCGTAGAGTGAACCATGAATACGTCCGGTATTGACCATTAATATGGTTTTACCTGTTTCCATGCATAATTTAATAGTTGATAACATTTCAACATTTCTCAATTCATTATTGATATCATCAGAAAAGTCAGACATTCGAAAGACTATGGTTTGATGAGGATCGATGATACCAGTTTGAAATAAGAGACGAACAGCACTTTCATCATCTGATTCATCAATAATTAATTTATAACGACCGTATAATCGGCGACGTACGGATTCAAGTTTCATCGAATCGTGTAGAATTCGAATGACATCACGACGAACATCATTGCGTTGTTCTCTTAACGATAATTCAAAATCCGGGCGTTTTTCTTGTACTGCATGAAAAACGATTTCGGTTAATTTTTCGAATTGTTTACTAGTTATTCCATTGAAATTATTTTCTAATGCATGTAACAAGCTCTCGGGTCGAATTGTATCGATAACAACAGGTTCGCTTGCTGAACTTGGTTGTAATTCAAAACGTAATTCACGTAACATATAGATAAAATCTCGATCATGAAATATTTTTGGTATATCACTACTTTCTAATACTCGTCGATAACCTTGACATAGACAGAAAATGATATTGCTTAGATCTTCAGGAATACTTTGTTCATCCGATAGACCAAGACAACCATATGCTAAAATCTTCTGATCGTTTTCCGATGGCAGTGAACGATAGATACAAGTCATGCGATTGGCATTTGCAGCATCGAATGCTTTGTTGGCTATAGCCACAAATGCAACTTTACATTCATCCAAATATTGATGCAAAACTTTGAGTACCATTCTCTTTTCATCCGGTAGCGAAGCTTCGTCCAAGAAAACCACCTAAAAGAAATATCCTCTTTTTTGTTTTGTCAAGTACAAAAAGAACTTACACATCGAGTTCCCATTTGATTCTGTTGATATTGTTGTTCACGTTTTATTGCTCGCTCAAATACACAAGCGATATCATTGGACGATGTATATTTTGAGCCAAGACAAAAAAATGGATCGACTGCTGGTAATTTCTTACAAAAATCCGTTTTGGATAATTGTGAGCCTTGAAGATTTTGTAACACGATTTGAAACGAGAGGGTTTTTGATTGTCCTAAAATCATGCGAATTAAATGGAATATCTGGTAGTTAAAGATTGAGAAAAGTAACTAGGTGATCACTTTGCGGTCATTGATAGACTATTTCATTGATCTTATCATGGTTAGCTCGTAGAACTCGAATATCTTACAAGAGAAATTACAGAATATAAGTTTTAATTATGAATTTTCCAGTTATCCGTACCTTCTCTCCACTATACGTAGTAACCAGAATCAAAAGTCAAGAATCATTGAGTGCGTGTCCGTAGAAAGAGGGTGATGGACAGAAAGCACGTTTGATAGTCAATGGTTACGTTCTGTACCAACTAGAAAAAACACCTAAGCTATGATAATGCTTAGACCATCGGAGAACTTTCTTCATCTTTCAAAGCAATTTTATAAATCTCAAAATTTCTACTGAAGTATGAAGCCAATCGAATTATTGCTAACTTTGGTATTTCAAGCAACTAAATGATCTTATTGTGGGCGTCCAACAGAATGGTGATGGTATTATTAATGTGTGAGATTCAGAACAGGATCAATGGGACAGTACGAACTGTTCAAGCACTAACTCTTGCCAGTAATCAAGAGAGGGTCCGCGAGAAGACCACCCTACTCTCCATATAAGTCGCCTGGGAAAAAAATTTTTTTTCGATTCTATTTTCTTAAATGATAGGCCTAGATGATCTATAGTCAAATCCAAAATATTAGGTCATTTGGTTTTACCTATGAAAAATGCGAGCTAAACCAAGTGTGAGGGGGTCAATTTTGATCCTAAAAATCCGGTAAAAATGGGTGTGGTCAGTATTTTGACATTTTCTCATGAACGGTTTGATCGTTTGAGATCGGGCATATCTCATTAGATAGGGAACAGTATAGGCTACAAATTTATCCTATTTCGATGATTCATATCTGGGATAAAAGAAACGCTATAGAACAAAAACCTTCAAAATTTCAAGAAATCCTACACTCTGAGATAGCAGTATTTTGGGCTTTTCTTGAGTGGTGCAAGCGGGTCCAAACTGCTTTTTTTATCAGACATAGATCTTGTCAAGATACATCTTTTGACATTAAATTGTCAAGAAGAAAAAACTCGGGGGTCAAGTTAGCATGGACCACACTGTGGCCTGTTCTACCTAGTCAGCATTGATCCTACCCCACAAAGTCATACAATTTCTACACAAATCACAAAAATAGACTTCAGATTCGTGTTCAGCTTGAAAAATTGACTTAGATAGGATATTTTAAATTGATTCCTCACTTGTACCAAATGTGCTGAAGATCATGGGTCCACCTCATGGATATATGATCGATATATGCCACGG